CCCAGAGTTCGCCCAACCAAGAAAGTTTAAGTCATTTAAACTGCGTTTCTAGAGTTTTGCCAACCGTTGCCCAGAGTTCGGCCAACCAAGAAAAATCAAGTCAATTAAACTGCGTTTCACAGAGTTTTGCCAACCGTTAGGCCAACCGTGGCCCAGAGTTCGGCCAACCAAGAAAGTTTAAGTCAATTAAACTGCGTTTCACATAGTTTTGCCAACCGTTGGGCCAACCGTGGCCCAGAGTTCGCCCAACCAAGAAAGTTTAAGTCATTTAAACTGCGTTTCTAGAGTTTTGCCAACCGTTGGGCCAACCGTTGCCCAGAGTTCAGCCAACCAAGAAAAATCAAGTCAATTAAACTGCGTTTCACAGAGTTTTGCCAACCGTTGGGCCAACCGTGGCCCAGAGTTCGGCCAACCAAGAAAGTTTAAGTCAATTAAACTGCGTTTCACATAGTTTTGCCAACCGTCGGGCCAACCGTGGCCCAGAGTTCGGCCAACCAAAATAATGTAAGTCAATTAAACTGTGTTTTACATAGTTTTGCCAACCGTTGGGCCAACCGTGGCCCAGAGTTCGTCCAACCGAAACTGAAAGTCTTTTAAACTACGTTTGGATAAGTTGTGCCAACCTTTGTCGCCAAAGTTGGCCCGACGGTTGGTTAAACTCTGCATTTAATGGTTGGCTTGCAAAGTCGGGCCAACTGTGGGCACAAGTACTTGCCAAAGTTGGGCAAACTCTGGCAACCAAAACTTTGCTTGCCAAAGTTAGGCCAACCTTGGGCCAACCTTCAAACTCTGGCGGCCAACCTAAATTCGCACCTGGGTCGCTGATTACGAATTCAATGTTATTTTTAAGAAATTCAAGATGGCAGATCCAATATATCAGACAAAATTTTTTAAAATGTATGCAATTGACCTTAATTTTGTCACTCGGGGGTTTTCGTGGTCGCTGATTACGAATTCGATTTTAGTTTCCCATAAATCAAAATGTCGGATCTAATATGGAACAAAATTTTTACTTTATTTAATTGACGAGGGGGAATTTACTAGTAAAAATAGTGTACACTTGACTCCCTGTTCCACTTGTTATCATTATTACCAAGTATTACCGAGTATTACCAATTATTACCAATTATTACCATTTATTACCAAGTATTACCATTTATTACCAAGTATTATCTATTATTTCCAAAATATTCCCGCATTCAAATATTAATATCTTTGCTGTATTATTATTTATTACTCACATATTATTGAGTATTAAGCTCTATTATCAAAAATATAACACGTTGAATTTCACTTTCTTATACTTAGAATTTACAACAAAATTATTTTAAAATTAAATAAATAAATTTAATTGAGAATTTTCTCTTTTTTAAAACGTAAATAAAAAATATCATTTCAATTGGTTTGAATTTTCTTTTAAGAGTGAGAATTTCCCAAACGGATCACCTAAATCTAAAAAATTTTCATTTTGAACTAAAATATATTTGTTTTACTTTTAAGGTGGTTAAGGCTAAAGTCCCATGGCAGCGTTTTGCGTTGCGTTTTGTAACTAGGCAATGAGTGTGAGATAGATGAAGATATACGTTCGCTATATTTGCACTCATGGCCTAGTTACAAAACGCAACGCAAAACGGTGCCATGGGACTCCACCCTAAGAATAATCCCTTAAAATATTAAGCCAAAAAATTTTTTTTGTAAAAGTTATTAACAATTGAGTTTTTTAGTACTGCTAAATTAAAAAATTTTTTTTTGAGTTCCAGTGGACGGATTTAAAAATCAAAATATGTGTTTTTTTCGTCTTAAATTGCACTATTTGAATAATTGTTCATAAAACAATGGTTTTTTTTGCAAACAAAATGTTTATTTAAGTAATTTATGTCTTGTTTTGCTAAAAAATTATTTTGAATTTAATAATTACCATTTTTATTAACAATAATTACATGAACAATTATCTATTTACCAACAGTCAAGTAGAGCTTTACATGACTTTAAACTCGTAAAAACAAGAAAAACAGTTTTTCTTTTTGCAGAAATAAGCCATTTATTTGTTTAATAAGTAAATAATTTGTTTATAACAAATGTAATTGTTTACGCTAATAAATTTCTTAAGTTTTTTGAAGAATGAACGTATGACCAGGCATTACTAAGTATTATTAAGTATTATTAAGTATTACCAAATATTACCAAGTATTACCGAGTATTACCAGGAGAGTGTACACTTGACTCCCTGAGTAAATTCCCCCTCGATCAATAAAGAAGAAAAGACAAAGGACAGAGACAAAGAAGGAAGAATACTTCAATAAAATAATTCTTCTAATGTATAATGAATTTATATAAAGTTTTTCTCTCGCTTGACTGAACTAATCGAAACAAAAACCATTATTTTGTAATTTGACTTGATTGGTACTTTAAAACGTCTTGCAACACCGTATTTCGTTTGTCGTGTTGCAAATGTTTGGTATGACTTGTTTACATTGTTTTCATTTCTTTATTTTTGAGTAGAAAATTGTGTGCAATGTTGCCAGACGTTTAAACAACTGTTTAATATACTGTATAAAACATGAAATATTTTTACAAATTAATTTATTGCAACTCTCACAGGTACCTAATGACACTTTTTTAAACAGATATTTAATCAATATATCTGTCTCGTATTGAAAAATGTTTCATTAATTTCTTAATGTTAAGTACTTTGTGGTGAGTAAATATGTTTGAAAATGTACCCAATTCCCACAAAACTCAATGTTAAAAGTTAAAAACAAAGACGCTTATAATTTTTTTCACAAGTACCAACAGGTCTCAAAAATTTAACTACATTGTTTTAAAACCTTCATCTAACAGTGGTACAAATTTCAACAAATTGGTAATGTTGATTCTATTTGAGAAAGAACCTCCTTATCATCTTGAAGAAGATCTTTAATTGCCTTAACGTTTTATAAACATTTTCCAATATAGCATAGTTTATACGAGTTTAAAAAAAGGAATGTTTTGTAACTGACTTTCAAATTTTTTTCGCTGATAACGAATTCTTGAAATAATACAGTTTTCCAGAAAACTGACAATTTAAGGAAATAATTATAAAAATAAAAAAATATTATTATATTTATGTCGTAAAACTGCTCAGTGTGTTAAATTTAATTTTTGGTTTTTGTTTTTTTTAACATTTTTCAAAAAATTTTGTAATCTTTTTCGAATATTTCAGAAGAAGAAAAAAACAAATCTTAAGGCTATGTCCAAGTTGTGAAATGTAAACAAACCAAAAGGTCACTATGCAAGGTTAGAATTATCGTATTATTTCACAAACAAAAACTGGCATTTTATTATTTTCTAAAGAAAAATAAGACTATTTCTAATGCAGATAGTAATTATTTTTGTACACCGAAGGATGCTTAATATAATTATAACGAACTTATCATATTTTCGTATTAATGTTGAAATTATTAGCACAATGCACTGAAAATCCCCACATTCTAAAGAACTTTTAGAATGAAGATATAACCAAATTTATATAATATTAGAAGAAAAAGTTTCTCCGTGTATATTTTTTTCAAAATAGTTTCATCCATTTGGAACTAATTTATTTAATTAATAATTTTATAAATTTCTATATCTTTGGTATAGAATTGTCATATTCTTAGAATGGCTATTATAAAATTGTAATTGAAATAAAATTTAGGAAAAGAATTATAATTTAATTTTGAAATTGGAAAATAATAAGTATCAAGTCTGAATTTAATTTCCGCGTGTGCAAGAATTTATTGCGAGTTAGAACTTGTTGTGCAAACGATCTGCGTTTGATAAGAAAAACATCTCTTTTGCACACACAATATCTCCCTAGTCTTTCGGTCGTTCACATCTCGAGTCACATCATTCGGATCCAATATTCCTCCTGCATAGACTATTATAGGATGAATATATATGTATTATGTATTTACGTCCGCACATTCCGCAAACTACTGTCCAACGCACTAGACTTTGATCGTTTAAGTACAATTCACTCCAATCAATGGCGTATAAAAAAGGAAAAGAATTTCATTTTATCACCGTTTTATAACACGCTCTTTTGAATTAACTATATACGGCAAAGTTCATTTTTTATTTTATATAATATAATATTCTTTCTTTAAATACAAATTTTTATTTAATAAAACGCTTCTTGGGAATATTTTTAATTTTTTTTTTAAATAAATTTTCAATTTTTATTAAAATTTTTAACACAATTCTTTAAAGCCAGTTATTACTATATAGTTTTGAAGAATTTCTTTGAACTTTGAATTATAGTAATTGAATTTATTGAAGAATCTCTTTCAAATTTTTAAAATAATTATGTTTGTTAATAAATGAAAATAAACATTTGATTACTGAATTTTATTAACATTTTCAGGAAACAATTCATTCTTGGTAGAATTTTTTTAAACATATTTTTAAAATAATTGAATTCAAGGAAATTTATTAAAAACTTTAAAATAATTGAATAGGGGAGTGTTGTTAGAGTTGGGCATAGTTTTGACTTTTCTTCATAACTTCCCCTGCAGAACGAATTTCGCGATTTCGCGCATGTTGTTGGAAAGATCAACTCAAATGCAATGCTTTTGCTGAACATTGTAAAAAAATTTGACCAAAAGATTCACAGTTATAAGCAATTTAAAAAAAATGTCAGAGTTGAACATGGTTGCCAGAGTTGGGCCACTGTAGAAAATCAATGAAATATTTAGGTAAATGAATAAAAATGATCTTCAAATGATATAGAATGACACTTGGAAATGAGGAAAGGAACCATGAAATTAAAATAAAATCTCATATTATGCATTTTCATATAGCTTTAGATAATTTATTCCTCATGAACGAAATCCAAAATTGAAAAAATGAAAAAAGGTTATCAAAATTTTTTTTCTCCTCTCTCTCTCTCTCTTTTTTTCTTAAAATGAAGTTTTTAACACCTCTTTAAGTGAAAACATGAATTTCTGTTGCAAGTACGCTTTGTAATTGGAAAATTTCAGGTGGCTCAACTCTATTCACACTGCAAAAATAGGAGTCTTTTTTGATATCTTAAAATAAGATGTAAGATGGAAAAATGGTATCTTACATTTTAAAATAAGATGTTTTCTAAAGCATCTTACTGATATTTAAGATGCTTTATACGTTTTAGCAGTGATGAAGATATTTCTTCCATCTTAGAAAAGTAAGATATTTTGGTAAGTTCTTTAAAGTATCTTAAATTAAGATGTTTCTGTTGCAATAAGATGTTTAGCGATAAGTTACTTGAGAAAGTGTCTTTCTAAATTTAAATTAGTAAAAATGTTTACAGGCTTCACAGTATACCTATTTCCCTTTTTTCCTCTTTTTTAAAAAATTACACTTTTTCCCCTTTTTTCAATATTTCCTTTTTTTCCCTTATTTTTTTTACTCCTTTCTCCTATTTTGTGTTGTACACCCAGAAAAAAATTTTATTTAAACCAAATAAAATTTATTTGAAACAAATTTTCCAAAATATGTTAATTTTACTTAACGAAATCATAGTGAATAACCCTTTTTTAATGCAGGAAAAATACATACTTGAAAATGAAAATTACAAGATGTTGTAATTTTACTATTTTAACCTCCCTACGGTTTGTCCCGAGTTAACTCGGGGTAAATTGACTGTACCAGAACGGTTAACCCCGAGTATACTCGGGGTAAATAAATATTTTATAACTCGTCAACAATACATCGAAATTACATGATCCAAAGTGGAAATTGAAGCTAATTCTATATAAGCTTTTCAAAAATATTTGTTAGCAATGATAAAAAAGTTTTTTATCAAAGTTACGTAACTTTAAATGTTAGTTAAACAAGCAAGTTTTTTAATAAGTGGATAATGTGCATTTAATCAAAAAGTTTATGAAATCAGCTTATGAAAATCATTACTCGGGGGGTTTTTGGGGTCGCTTCTTACGAATCTGGCATTAGATTTTCAAAATTCAAAATGGCGGATCCAATATGGCGGATATAACCATTTTGGTACCGATTTCTGCAATTTAATTATACCGTAGGAGGGTTAAATACTGATATTTTCAATTTTGGTAATTTATTAATTTATAAATTGATTAGAATAATAATTAAATAAAGCTATTACAAAATTTTACAATTCTCAAAATGGTTTTAGACTATTTTCCAGAATGAATTTACCGAAACGTATTTTTCACCGAATGACAATTTCCCCGAATACAATTTTATTCAATGCATTTTGACCGAAAGTACATCAAAACAAAACAAAATTAATGTTAAAAGATAAAAAAATTATGTATAAAAAGTGTCAGTAGGTAATGCAAACAAAAAAATTAGATATCAGTGTTATGAAATATTGCACTTAAAAATTTTTAATAATTTTTGTCTTAAAATTTCGTTCTCAAACAAAACATTTGAATAATTTAGACGTGGAAATTCTGAATTTACATATATCTGAATAATATAACATAATTGACAAAGTAAAATATAGAAAAGAATGACAAAGTTCATTTTTGATAAGAGTAAATAAAGATTTCTTTAAATAAATGATAAAAAAAGAAGGAAAATAAAATTTCAATAAAACGGCAATAATTCTCTTAATATACATAAAGTGGAAAGAATCGTGTAAAATAAAAATCCAACTTTGATTGTAATGTTTGACACGCGGCACGATTCTCGCATATGTTTAAAGAAGTTTAAGTCCACAATACATCACGTGAAAAGAATGGCCGTGGAATCGGCTTTGGCTCATGGCTCGGCAAATAAAAGGACGTAATAGCGTTTCTTTACCAAGGCACGAGGCCCAGGAATCTGCGCCAGGATCCGACCGCATGGTAGAATGAGGGGGAGTTGTATGGGGCCCTCTTCTTGGGATCTCAGATCCCGACTATGCTTATATACGCGGCGATGCCGAATTGAGCCCTGGTCGCTGACCAGTCACCCGAGTCCTTAAAAAGAGAAAGAAACAAGTCGGGTAGGTCGAGAGTAAAAAAAAGGGCAAGGCCCATTATATGCGAGGGCACTTGTCGTCAGGGGCCTTCTGTTCCTCGAAACATTTTGCATCGACATGTATCTCTCCCTCCTTTTCCTCTTCTTTTTTACTTTTTTCCCTTTTTCTCCTTTTTAATCCCGCGGCCTGCTAATCATTAAGAGTAATTATACTAATTCCAATTAATTTAATTAAGCTCGTATATTTTTTCAATACCATTATTACCACCGATCTCAATTAATATGCTATTTATTTAATCTAACGTAACTTATAATATAAGTAAGACTTATTACGAGGGGGTATTTACTGGTTGAAAACGTGTACACTCCAATACACTTATTACGCTAAAATTACACTTATTACCAAGTATTACAGGGTATTACAGGGCAATACAGAGATATGTCTAGGTAACACACCCACGTAATAACGTACTATTACGCCCTATTACGCGATATTACACGACTATTACAAGAAGAGTGTACATTCCAATACGGGAGTATATACCCCCTCGACTTCCCAATGGGAAATTAACCATTGGCGCAATAATGGTCCTATATTGGGAGCCAGCAGTACCAATAATGGTGCAATAATGGCAACCAATATTGGGCCACTATTGCCAGAGTCTTGGGATGATTACGACTTTGCCAAGCATTGGCAGCCAATATTGGATCAATATTGGCTGCCAAGACAAATGCCGGACTTTCCAAGCGTTGGATATTCATTTGCAACAAATATTGGACCAATATTAGTGACCAAATAATTACCAATGCTTTAAATTAAATTAATGCTTGGTTATTTATTGGCTACCAATACTGAACCAACGTTTGAAATCAATATTTTACAAATACCAACATATAGCAAAAATTTTTCAAAAAAAAATTACTAATCTAAAGAAAAAAAAATTAATTTTATTGGAACACTCTGTTAAAAACAGAATGTGATAAAAATCAGACAAAGATAATATTTGTCTAAGTTCGAGAATGCAAGCGTCTCCTCTTATATAGAACTGGTAACACAACTTGCTGGTGAGAGGAAGAAACTGTGGCGCACCCTGGTGGCACTTATCCAAAGTAATTTCGAGCATATACTTTGAAGCAGCGCGGGACATTTCAAAATCGAACACCAGGGTGCGCCAGAGCTTCTTTCACTCACCAGCAAGTTGTGTTACCAGTTCTATATAAGGGAGACGCTTGCATTCTCGAACTTAGACAAATATTATCTTTGTCTGATTTTTATCACATTCTGTTTTTAACAGAGTGTTCCAATAAAATTAATTTTTTTTTCTTTAGATTAGTAATTTATTTTTTTTTTTTTGAAAAATTTTTGCTATATGTTGGTATTTGTAAAATATTGATTTCAAATGTTGGTTCAGTATTGGTAACCAATAAATAACCAAGCATTAATTTAATTTAAAGCATTGGTAATTAATTGGTCACTAATATTGGTCCAATATTTGTTGCCAATGAATATCCAACGCTTGGAAAGTCCGGCATTTGTCTTGGCAGCCAATATTGATCCAATATTGGCTGCCAATGCTTGGCAAAGTCGTGATCATCCCAAGACTCTGGCAATAGTGGCCCAATATTGGTTGCCAATGTTTGACCAAGAAAAAACTGTTGGCAGCCAATATTGGTCCATTATTTAGCCAATGGTGAGCATTGGCAATTTCCCATTGGGTTATTAAATAAGTCTTTAACGCCAGACTTTTTAAAAATAAGCCGTATTCTGTCCGCCATTTTGAATTTGATAAAATGTATTTCAAATTCACAATCAGCGACTCCAAAAACCTTTTCAAAATTTCATTTCAATTTAATAATTTTTTATTTTTATTAATTGAGATTTATTAAAAATTTACTTATTCAGAGAATTCGTTTTGTAAAAATATTTTCGCAAACAAAAACTTAGAAATTAGATATACACTGCAAACCCGATCAGCGGTCAGCTCCGGGGGTGCTCGACCGCTGATCGGGCGTAAACATATAGGGCCGTACGAACTGTTTTATGATGGGTTACCATTACTTGACTACTGAATTTTTTTTTAAGGGGCCAGAGCGTCTTTAATGTATACGCTACTGCCACAACTTTTCGACTCCCTTATGGCCCCTCGCCCGCCCCATCTACAAACGACGTAAACAAGTGACCACTGATCGGGTGACCGCTGATCGGGCTTGCAGTGTATTATTTTTCATAATTTTGAGAAAATAAGTAAATTTTTGGTTATTATAAAAGATGACATTTTATAAATTTTTTTAGAAATAATGGACTTCTTTACAGGAACTTCATTTAAATTATAAGTATTATAAATAATTAAATTCCTGCGAAGAATTATATTATATTCCCAGGCGCGAAAGACCAGTGCTGACGATGGGTTGAAACTTGACTGAGTCTTGAACGCCCAGCGTGGGTAACCCAGAGTTGAAGCAGTCTTTATATCATTGTCACTCAATATTGGTTCAGCATGGGACACCAATGTTCGTCCCATGCTCGATTTAACACTCGGTCAATCTTCGTGAGTGGAGCTTCAACATCCAGTCTTTATTCAAGCTTGAATCAATCTTGATAGTTTATTTATTACCGTGTGCACTTAACAGTATTAGATATAAATACTTATAAATTATTTAATATTAAAATATTATTTCTGAGAAGTTTTAGTAATATTTAAGAAAATAAACAATAATAATAAGTTAATAAGTGAATGTTTTTTAATTTTGAATCTGAAATCATTCAAAAATTGAAAATGATATTTAAAAATAAAAAAAATTTAAATTTGCATAATAACCCAGTGGGAAATTTGCAACCGGCGCGGATCCTCGCCTGTACCGACGCCGGAGTAGTGGTACTGGCTGGGAACCGCCTGCCTACCGCCCGAGAACTGGTATTCTACCAAAAGATGACTTGGCCAGGAGCTGGCTGGCCATCCGTCTCGGAACTGGCATTCTACCGCCCGGTAACCGGCCGCGAAGAGCCGTTCCGTGTATAATTCAACCGGCTGGGAGCCGGCACTGTACCGACTGCGGATCTTTCATTTCCTAGCCAGATGTGCGCTGGCAATGCTGGCATTCTACCGCCTGACAACCGGCTCGCATCAAAATAATAATTTCAACAAATATCAATAAAAAAATAATAATTAATTGCAAAAGATAAATACTGATAACAATTCATTGATAGTTCACTTTACACATTTTTTTATACACTTAACGGTATTTTTTTATATTCACATTTGAAAAATCCTAACGCTTGGGGGTACGAACCTACGCCTAACCGAATATTTACGCACCGAAATCACGCACGCTAACCACTATGCTACGCTCGCATGGAACTCTCAAATCTTAAATGCTTTCAAGTCTCACTAGCTAAAATGAAAATTGTAAAATTACT